CCATGTGTTAATGGCTCCTTCGCATGACATGACTTTCGAAATTATCAACTGTACGTGAAAAATGAAAACGAAAGCTTATAATGGAATTTGGACTAATCGTTGATACTTTGATATTATGAAGTACATGTTTTTAGTTAAAAGGTCAGCTCATTTGTTTAAAATGTACAATTGTCAGTTATTAATAATGACCGTAGAAATATACTACTTTCGTATCTATTCAGGTCGATTCGAATAAATTATTCAAACATTTTTTTTTCTTTTATTTTAACATTATCGTTGTCAAATATCAATATGAATATTTTTCTAATAATAAATTTATTATTCACAAATAACACAGTAATAAAAATTGCATTTTTTTTTTATAATAATAATTATAATTATGAATTAAATAAATTAGATTTATTTGATTCATAATAATTTGATAAATTTAAATTAAATATCGTGAGAAATTTATTTCACAATATACAAACTCTTATGTCAATAAATGTGTGTTAATATACATGTTTTTTTTTTTTGTTAATAATATTCCTCTCATTGTGTCTTTAAATTTAGTTTATGTGCATTAAATTTTACTAAATTATTTTATCTATTATAAAAATCACAATAAAAAAAAATAAAGTTTTTATTCATATTGTCACTTTCGATTCTTTCTTTATTGATTTTAGTTTCGATTTAATTCTAAGAAAAAATAACTGGTTATTTTATACTGTAGAGAGTAGAAGTGGAAATTGACTGACAGAAAGTACAAACTTAAACACATGTCATTTCATTCTTTTTAACAGACCTCCAGACACGAGAACTTATTAAAATTGACAAAATCGGTAGAGACACTTTCTCACAGATCTTCATAGATTTTTTTTACTTTTTTTTTAATACTACTTAGAATGGCAAACAAGCTGATGACTCACCTGATGGAAAGTGGTAACCGTTGCCTATAGACATGAGCAGTACCATGGACATAACAGAGTATACTGTTGTCCCCATAATACCCCATGATTTTTTTTATTTGTGTCAAAAAAGTTGTTTTTAAATATTTCTCTGTAAACATGTGTAAAACACAAAAAAATTAATTACATGTCTGTATTTTTGTATATCTAATGTTTCCTATACACATACATACATATCTGTCACGTCTGTCTCACATTAGGGTAGGCAGAAACAATGGAACGCCAAATGCATCGATTCAAACAAGCCTTCGCTTCCTCCACATTCATCAATCATTTCATACACGCTCGCCGGTTACGGGTACTTTTAATATAGCCCTTCTTCAGCACGTCGCCTATTTGCTCGACATATGTCCGTCTAGGGCGGCCCCTACCGACATCTCCATTTATTCTTGCTCGATAAATATCTTTCGTAATTATTCTTTTATCCATCCTCTCCGAATGGCTGAACCAATGCAACATTCCCTTTTCGATTTTTGTCACTAGTTTGTCTTTCAGTCAACACTTCTCTCTAATCACACTGTTTCTCTTTTCTCATCTTTCCCATTTCTTGGTATTACATTAAAAGATAGAGTGAGAAACAATGAGAAACAGCGAGAAACGGTGAGAAACAGCGAGAAATGGTGAGAAACAGTGAGAAACTGTCTCCTATTTTATCGAAAGTGAAAATTTGAATAAAAATATCTCATTTTTAATCACCAACATAATTATTATACTCACCTCTATATTTTCAATAAAACCTAGACACACCTACTCGATGAAAACTGAAACGAATCCGTAAATAAACCAATTACAATACAAATACCTTAAAACAATTTACAACAGTCAAGCGTAATACAGAATCGGAGATAATATAGAATTGGATGGAGGCCGTCAAGTCACCATACAGATGCCACATTCGATTGTAATTGAGACAGCGGATTGTTTCCATGTGGGCGGCATAACCCTCGTTAATGGTATATACTCGTAATACACACATAGACAGTCGTATACAGAGTGGAATTGGTAACACAAGCACCCTTTTAAGAGAGTGTTCTGCTTGAAAAATTCTACATTTTTCTTATGTGTTTATTTTTTGTGTAAGGTCAGAAGGTATGTTGTATGTATGTTACACAATACCCTTGCTAATTGTAAAATTTATTATTAGGTACTTCTTTTTTGAGCTATTTATAAGAATACAAACAAATTTTATTTTATTTATTAAATACAAGAAATTTCCAACGCGAGTACATTGGACCTGTATCGCAGGAGTCCATAAGAGATTATCAAGACACGGTGATTTACAAATATAAGTAATTATAAATTATCTGGGACGTCTATTAGAAAATGGGTTTTTAGCAAGAATATTTAGATCAACTTTGTGATACCGGCATAGAATGGGCCAGCCCTTCCTTTCCTTGGTATCGTAAGAGACAACTAAGGGGATTTTGTAGTCGAGGGATGGGCAGCAGCGTTTCTCGTAAAACATTGGCAAAGGCCAACTGCGATTACTAACCCGCTTGCTAAGCGTGGCAACTACTGGCAAAACTTTCCCTATGGCCTATATCCGGTTGATATAATAATAATTTAGCTTTCCACATATTTTTTTAACGCTCTACCCACTCATTTATTCTTTAATTAATTGTATCGAAAGGTGATCTGGAAGAGATTGCTTAGTGTTAGAGAGTATGACGGATTTCCCAGTTTCATGGTCAATATTAAATAAATGTCTTTTAATAATACATTGCTTTCGTATATTTGATGGAAAATTATGTAATAAAAAAAAAGACAAAAATACATCAGTCAGATACAGTAAAAATGTATGACTGTTAAAATAAAGTAGGTTGCAATCTTTGACATTTAGCAACAAGACCGCCTTTCGTATTACACTATTTTGAAAAGACTTTAACAATCTATGTAATATTGGTGCAATAAAATGTTAAAACCAGAGAGAGAACCGAAAAACAGCCATGCAAACACAACTGACGGCCCACCTGATGGAAAGTGGTAACCGTCGCCTATAGATATGAGCAGTACTATGGACATAACAGAGTATACTGTTTCGCCCATGATACCTCCCATGCATTGCCATTCCTGAGGACTAAGGCGTTATTTCTCTGTGCCCAGTAAATTCACTGCCACATCCCACCCTTCAAACCGAAACACAGCCATACAAACACAACTGCTTCACAGTAGAAACACGAATGAGACAGAGGTGTCCAAACGACTTTTGTACAAAGTCTCCCTCTAGTATATTTGTTCTCATTTAATATTAGAACTAACAGAATTTTTCATCGTGCCTCCCACCAAATTGTTTTTAATTACTCCTCTCCATCCAAAGGTTGCCGGGAAGAGATCGCTCTTAGCGATAAGGTCGCCCATTGTTTTCTCACTGTGATTATTTCTTGTAATTGTTTATATTTATAATAAGTTTACTATTGTAATCTTTTGGAGGAAACAATAAAGAGTATCTATCTATACAACATACATATAGATAAGACTTTCGGCAGATCAAGGTGTGAGGTTGGTTGGTAAACATCTCTTATACAAGTAACAAACGAACCCGTTTGTTCACAGTCTCGTTGTAACTCAAATTCTCCAGCGTGCGGTGTGTAAACGTCAGATGCTTTATCTATATATACATTTGCGATATCGCATGCACAAGATCAGCCATTTTTATTTTGGAATTGCGTTTTTTTAACTTAGTGTGCACGACGCACCTTTTTAGTTTCTTTTTTCAATTTTATTAAAAAGATGTTTTGTTTGTAATTTGAACTCTGTGTTAGTTCAGTTTACTTTTGTTTCGTTCGCTTTTTTGCTCCGTTGGTTTGCTTTGTATATTTTTTATATAATTAAATTATCTTTCTAAAACACCGTGTTTCCATACCAGCATACAGTCCTTTCGCCCACAGTTTTTTTTTTATGGGTGATAATGGAATGGTAACCCCACCCGCGCTATCGGTATACACCGGCGGGGTACCAGTGAAAGATGATAGGTGAGGATGAAGCAGGCCAGTTAGCCCATCGTGACGAATTCAATAAGAATTGTTCACGATGGTTTCCAGGGGGAACCACGTGGAGGTCGACCTAATAGGGAATATTGCTAGCAATGGGGCTGTCAAACTCCATTGCTAACAACCCCTTTCCCCCCTTCGTCCACATTTAGAATGGCGAATAAACTGACGATCCACCTGATGGAAAATGGTAACTGTCGCCCATAGATATGAACTTACATCAAATTTTAACTTAAACCTTCAGGAGCACAACTATGGAAATCGCATCCGATTTGGTGTAATAGTTTTTGCGTTAAACCGGAACAAACATACAATATATAAATATAAATCAATGTATAAAAATTATTGTTTTGGCATCTAGTACTTTTATTAAGCTATTACTGTGTAGATTTTATTATATTAAAAAAGACGTATTAAATAGTAAGATATACGAGAAATACAGTAACATTTAGAACCTCTTATTTTTATCTGTTGAAACTGAATCTGTTGGGGACAACAATAAATTCATTTCAGCACAATATTGAATAATTAGAAAGGGATGGAGCGATTGAAATAGTAAGAATAAATAAGACAGCTAATATTTGTCGTTTGCGCATAAGTGTTACACACACACAGTAACACAAAATGGTTACATCGTATTAGCCGTTAGCTATTGCTGCATATGAGCCTCCTACATAAAGGGGGGGGGGGGATTGCCAGCAGTTACCATGCTTGGCAGGCGGGTTGCCAACCGCAGTTAGGATTAGGTGGTGTTTTAAGAGACTCTCTATTGCCTATCCTTCAATTACTAAGTTCCCTTAGTCGCCCCTTACGACACCGTAAAGAAAGGGATGGCCCATTCTACGCAGAGACTATACGGGGACATATTTATAACTTTATTGGCTGTAATTAATAATTTTAACAATTTTGTTTCATTCTATACTATCTCATTTCTGTATTATGTATGTATACTATATATATATATATATATATATATATATATATATATATATATATATAATTATTATTATTATTTACATAATATCTTTTATTATAGATTAATTATACCAAACACTCACAGCGCCACGTTGTTTACGTAATTAAATTTGAATTATTTGTTCATAATGTCCATTTTATTTTAATAAAGAAGGCACTTGACTTCTGATTAGCACTACTAACGTCCAAACAGCTATATTTACTCGCGTCCTCTGCGAACTACTGCTGGCCACTGCATCTGTAACAGAAACAGTTCTTAGTCTCTAGATTCTCTATTAATCTACATAGTATAGTGAAGAAAACATTTTATTTTTATTTTTTTTATGCAACTTAGAATGGGAAACACACTGACGACCCACCTGATGGAAAAATGGTAACCGCGCTAGACATGAGCAGTACCATGGACATAACAGAGTGTACTGTTTCGCCAATGATACCCTCATGCGTTGCCATTCCATAGGACTTAGGTGTTATTCCTCTGTAACCTGTAAATTCACTGCCATATCCCACCCTTCAAACCAAAACACAGCCATGCAAACACGCTTTTATACCACAAAGGTGGAAAACAAGCATACAGCCCGTCTGATCGTAAACGGTCATTGTAGCCTATGGACGCCTGCAACACTAGGGGCATTACGCACGAGTTGCTTAATATACACTTTTTGAAGAACCTAAACATCTTAAATAATATAAAAAATTATCTAAATTTATATAACGGATGGTATTCTGAAGAACTCTTCAATACGATGCCTACAGCTACCTTTCACCATCGTACCGCTCGCTATCGGCAAGCAATCTGTCCTCACGCCTTAAAACCAGAATGGTCATGCACAGTGCGCTTTCAGAGATGCTTTTACGCATTAAAAAGATGTAAAAATTATAAAACAAAATAAATATAAATGTTATAACGACAAAACATTTATCACGCAAAATTATGTGAAAAAGTTGACCCGCTTTTCTCGAAGCATTTGTATGAAGACATTCTAACTGTATAATCTAAGATTTTTATGTATTTGGTGCAATAAAGAGTTAAATAAATAAATAAAGGTTTTTAAATAATTAATACGTAGCTAACGTTACTATTAAAAACCAGGTTTGTAGGTACTGTTTACCTGTAATCGCGTCGCTTTAAACCCCAATCGGGAATTTAAAAGATTATTATGGTATTTTTAATGGTTTTCCTTGTCCTGTTTACTGTCGACCTTTTTAAACGCTCTTTTATTAAACATTTAGATTAATTTTTTTCTAATTCCAGAGGGAGACTTTGTACAAAAGTCGATTGCTTGGGTACCTCTGTCCCATTCGTGTTTCTACACGTGAAGCAGTTGTGTTTGCATAGCTGTGTTTCGGTTTGAAGGGTGGGATATGGCGTGAATTTACGGGGTACAGAGGAATAACACCTGAGTCCTCAGGAATGGCAACGCATGGGAGGTATCATGAGCGAAACAGTATATTCTGTTATGTCCATGGTACTGCTCATGTCTCTAAGCAACGGTTACCACTTTCCATCAGGTGGGCCGTCAGTTTGTTTGCCATTCTAAGTTGTACAAAAAAAAACACCTGAAAAATGCTATGAATTAATGTTAGTTGGACAATTTTATTGGGTTTAAAAAGTTTTTTTACGTCATTATTTCTAATTTAAACATTTGAAACTTACTTCAATAAATGTCAGCTGAGATTCTAATTAGAACTTGCTACATTTATCACGATTATAAAAAGAAATAATTAATGTACTTTTGAGTTTTTAATACGAATTAACAAATTTAAAATTTAATTATAATACTTAAAAAGAAGCGTCGTAAAGTCGTTTTCTTTAGGGAGTTTTTTTATAATTAATCCTAGCACGGTATGAAAGCAAGATGCATGCAGATACATTGGTGCTTTCGTAAGAAATTTCTCGCTTTTTGAAATGTTATCAAACAAAAAAAAAAAAAAAAATATATATATATATATATATATATATATATATATATATATATATATATATATATATATATATATATATATATATATATATATATACCATTTTAATACTGTTACAGACTCTTTGTAATTTGTGCTTTTATATTAATTTTTTTTATATTGTTCTTTTTTTTTTTGTTAGTATGTTAGTACAACGTTCAATACGAACCGGCGTTTCGTTTTACTAGCAGTTCATAATACGTTGTGTATTGACCCATTTTTTAAAATATGTGGATTGTTTTTCTGCTAAACTAGGCCCAATTTACTACACTCCAGTACGAAATTATATAATAAATGAACTTTTTTATTCAGCACAATCTGTTGTGTTCTTTTTAATTCATGAATTTAATCAATGGATCCAAGCAAGCAATATTTGTAGTAATACATTACCAGAAGAAGTACATTAGTTACAAGACGTTTGCCTTCCTTCTAACTTGTCAAGTTAAATCACATTTTTTTTAGAGCCACGACATATATAATAGTGGCTTCACTCGCAAGCCTACGAGTTGGCGTCATTTAAAAGTCATTTGCGTAATAAATTCAAGATTTCTCTCGCCTTTTATTCCCCTTGAGCCAGATTTAGCGACGTCGCGCTGTAACATAGTCTTTTATCAGACCCAGAAGCAGTTTTTTAAGGAAAATATTCCATTTATACGCCACTTGCATGCATATAAATAATTATTATGTTATATACTTGTTACGGTCTGTGACATTTTAATATGGCACAAAGGAAACTGTTGTTATGTAAACCATGACCTGATTTTATGTTTTAATAAATCATAATAAACGGGTTTCAATATACAAGTGACGTGGTAATTATTTAATTCATAGTTTTAATTATAAAGACGAATTAAACGCCATAAGGGAACATTACAACTGTTAGAAAACATATTCTGTAAATACTGAATAGTTTTCTAAGCAAACTAAAAATGTATATTCTAAATATATAGTCATTTATATAGAATACATGTAGATAGTCAATGATCCCAGGCTTATAAGCAGTATCGGTCCTTCAAGTCTTAGGACAGACTTTGCCTCACTCTGCGTATTCTGCCGCTTGCACAGTTACCCGCAGATACCCTCAGGATAGCGTTAGAGCTGTCCCGGACCCTACGCATCAGAGATGTGCACCGCTTTCACATAATATAGAAGTAGAAGTAACGTAGAAGCAATCAACACGCGCCTCGGCGAACGTTCTCGATGCACTACAAAACCATGAAATGAAATTCCGAAGTTTCGGACTTAATTTTGTGTTTTCGTTCATACCTAAATCGGCCTAGTAAATGTAGTTGGGGGGAAAGGATTGTTAGCAATGGAGTTTGACAGCCCAATTGCTAGCAATATGCCCTATTAGGTCAACCTCCACGTGGTTCCCCCTGGAAACCATCGTGAACAATTCTCGTTGAATTCGTCACGATGGGCTAACTGACCTGTTTCATCCTCATCTATCATCCGTCCCTGGTGCCCCGCGGGTGTATACCGATAGTGCGGGTGGGGGTTACTATTTCATTATCACCTATAATAAAAGTAAATATAGCTTAACATTTCGTTCGACATAAATCCTACCATAAAAGTCCAAAGGAATAATATTATGGAGGAGCGTGACCTTCTGATACAGGTGATGACACTTACTAGAAGGTCACAAAAACTATCTTCAATTTTGTTACAAAATAAATATTTTTTCATTTTTTTTTTTCATTTTAATATTTTTTTTAAATGGTAAGTATTATGTAATTTTAACATCAAATGTGTGTTTCGTTCGGCTCCGAAATTTCGGAAAACATTTCATGGTAGGCCCTCAGGACAGCTCCAGCAGCATCCTAAATGAATTATTGTGCTGGACTCGTAAGGCGCTGTACTGTTTCTAAGTATAAAAAGTCCACGAACAACTCGTGTAAAAGGACGTACAAAATACTTTAAAAAGAGTGATTTGGACGTCTGATATATTGTTCGTACAAGTAATAATAGGCTTATACTAAAGCGACATCTAGTGAGATTTTAATAAAATCTCATTGTGTGTTATGAAACTTTTAATATAAATTCTAATTATCTCTTCTAATATCTGAAATTATTAAAGCAACCTGTCTTCATAATTTATCCAGTTGTAATTTAATGAAGAAAATTCTCTGAAATACATTATTTAGGTTACCTGGAAATCTGTCATTGTTGCGCGAGATAGATTCCTGTCTCTTTTGACTATGATAAATTTCATTCATTGTTAATGGGGGTAGAATAAATGACGTCATGATTTGATATCTTTTGTGAAAGTGCTTCAGATAAAATAAGCGTTCATTACAAAAGATTCGCTTTGTCAATATATTTTTGTTTTGCAAAGACACTTTATATTGCAACCGACTTTAGAAAGAAGGTAGTTCTCAATTCAGTTGTAACCGATCGATACTACGTTTTTTTTTTATGTTTGTAACCTCATAACTCCATCAGTTATAAACCTATTTAAAAAATTCCTTTTCTATCTTACAGGATATACTTATTGATTGATTCTGTAGAAATTTTATCAAAATCGGTTCAGTAGTTTAGTTATTAAATCAAAAAAACTGGTTTGATTACAACTGAAGTCGAATTTTTGTGTCGGACACAATCTTTAATTATGAAATATTCGTCGTATTATAGATTTTTCCTAAAAAAATATAAATAAATAAATACTATTTGAAATATTACATAGTGTCGCAGTGACAGTCTAAGCTTATCAGAGGCTCCGGGGGGTTGGGGGGGGGGACGTTGAATGAGGCTACCAGTTTAAGAAGTCTGGGTAATGTTACAAACTTTTTATTCAATTCATATTTGTATGTATAAGTGTTTATATTTATTAAGTTAAAATCTTGCATGTGAAATTTAAGCTAGACTTAATGAAACATACAAACATGCATGTGAATATAGGAATGGGTTTAGGGGAATTTTGGTCCCCCAAGGCCAGATGCCTAGTGCGGGATACCCCTTCCATGATGCTGTAAGAAGATATTGATGTAATTCCTCCAATAACCTCTTGGATGTGTAAAGAAATGATAAAAAATATAGTTTTTACATAGAAAATACATTAAAACATGTACTTACTATTCTTACTAAACATATATGATGATATATGCGGGCGACTAGCGACGTACAGTCGCACCGACATGCTCCGCACGTGCGGTGGTTTTGTCGCAAGTGTAGCGCGACAACGCAACGCTAAATAGCCGCGGTGAGTTGAGTAGTCATCAGGGAAAACGTGCAGGGTCCGCCAGGATGCCCGCAATCCCTCCCCGTCCGCTCCAGAGATGTGGGTCTTGTCAGTAATTAGCGGATCCTGGGGAAAGAAAAATGCTGTTAGGGGTACATTAACTTAATTAGATAATAATATAAATTGGGTCTTGTCAGTGTAGTGTATTCTGGTGAAAAGAGAAATTTAAAGCTACTCAAATATGTGGCTCATATTAATAATTAGTGGTACCTGACGAAAGAAAAATTGTTAAAGGAAAATTAATTAGATAATGCTTTTAACATGTAGGTCTTGTTAATGAGCGAGTCCTGGTGGAAGAATATGATGTAAGGATGAATTTATTTTTATTACATAATAATTAATATTCCAGAAATGTGAGTAAAAATAAAACTGAGAACCCTGGTCTAGTGGTACAGATATCAGATGTAAATTTGAATCTTGCTAAAAAAGTTTACAATTTAAACCAACTGACTCTATGGTTGTCTGATTTAAAGTTATATATGTTTCAATTTATCATATAGAAAAATAATAAAAAAGGAATAAATAAATTTATTGCAGAATTGATATCGGAGTAAATATTTTCAATTAATAAAGTGTTCAACATAAAAAGTGCACTTCGATTGAGAAGCTTTGCCTTTATGAGTTCGAATAAAAATTAAAATAAATAAATTTTCATGTATATATATATATATATATATATATATATATATATATATATATATATATATATATATATATATATATATATATTATATATATTAGTACATTGAAATGATTGAATTTATTCAAAGTGACAACCCTGAGTATTTGCGAAACGAGCATCATACCTCCTCCGCATTTACTAACGAACATGGATACACGACGAAACAAATGCCAACACGTAATCGAAACTTATTTTCAAAGCTGTACAGTTCAAATTTATATAGCAACCGGACAAATTAGATGAGGTAATATTAAACTTTTTAATTTTTACACGTCAACAGAGCTAACGAGTCTCCTTATTTTTGGCTCGAACACGTACACAAAGAGTGAACGAGAAAAGAACATTAATTGAAACAATAGACAATAGAAGAGGCACAATGCTGGGCCGTCTTATACGACGTGACGATTTTTTAATAACTACACGGGACAGATAAAAGAAACACTATTATCGGTGTCATGTCGTATAGGGAGGTCAAGGATATGGCCTGGGATAGAGCTGGCTGGAAGAAGATGTATGAATTAGTTGCACCGACAAGAGGAAACTCTTAAATGAAAAGAGAGACGTACACGAATTAGAAGGGCCCTCCCTAGCGTGGTTGTAAACATCAAGTTTAAAATATTTACTTTTTAGTTGTAAATACCGCGATTTTTTGCCAAAGGGTATGTCTAATAATGTGTTAAATAAGTGAACAGTATTTAAAAATATATAGCAAAAAAATACGAAGTATATTAGATATTCCATTATTATTCGATGTTCCATTACGAAGAACAGAGTTGGCAAAGCAAACTCCCCTATCTCTTGCATTGAAACTACTCAATGATATTTTGAGCCAGTATCCGCAATTGGATGTATTTGCCTCCAACTTGCTGGAGTTTCGTCGAGTGACCACAGAGTATTTGTGTTCAGACGTTTTTTGTTTGAGTTAAATTTTTTTTTATATTATTTTTGTTATTTTTGTGTAATATTCCTTTTTTATATGTTATTGTACTCATGCTTTCCTGGGTGAGCGTATTGGAAGACTGTAAAGCTAACCCAGAGTATGTATTAAATAAATAAATAATTTATTATTATTATTTCAGCCCTTAACTTTCCACTGATGAACATAGGCCTTCCCCATAAAGGGAGTTTTGCCAGTAGTTGTCACGCTTGGCAGGCGGGTTGGCAATCACAGTTAGGCATTTAGAGATGTTTTAAAAAGACGCTGCTGCCCATCCTGCGCCCTCCCTTAATCGACTCTTACGACATCCATGGGAAGAAAAAGGAGGTCTACTCTATGCTAGGACTACACTGCGTTTAGAATCAGATATAATATAGTATAAATTAATTTAACAAATAGTGTGTTGGCACAAAATGATTTCAGCTTTATATTTAAATATAAAGTTAGCAAACATTACGTGCGACACGAGACACATAAACTGTTTTTAGAATAGGGCGGTGTAATAAACAAAGTAATAATTTAAAAGGGCTGTAAATAAGCTTATTTAAATGTAGTGTTTTCACTGATTTGAGTATTGATGTCACAGTGTGTTTAATTTTTTTTTATATAGAGATTTTAGTATGGAAACTAGATACTAGATAGCGTTGATAACAATTCATGTCTTTTTTTACAATACGGAGGCAAACGTGCATGCGGTTTACCTGATGGTAAGTGACTACCGCCGCCCATGATTACCCATAACACCAACAGCATTGCAGGTATTCTGCTAGTCTTTTAAAAGGGAATATGCTCTTTTCTTGAAGGTTATGATGTCGTATCAGTTTGGAAATACTACTGCTGGAAGTTGATTACAAAAAGTGGTTGTGCGTGGAAGAAAGTGCCTTTAAAAACGCACGGTGGAAGACCGCCACTCGTCCAGATGGTTGGGATGAAACTAGTTTATGGCGAGTTGTACGGTGGTGAAAATCAGCAGCAGGTATCAATCCGAACAATTCCTCAGAACACTCCCCATGATAACTTATTATTATTAAGTTAATGTCGCTTTTAAAATTTTCTTGAATTGATTTTTTTTATACAACTTAGAATGGCAAACAAGCTGACGACCCACCTGATGGAAAGTGGTAACCGTCGCCTATAAACATGTGCAGTACCATGGACATAACAGAGTATACTGTTTCGTCCATGATACCCCCCATACATTGCCATTCCTGAGGACTCAGATGTTTTCCTCTGTACACTGTAAATTCGCGCCATACCCCACCCTTCAAACCGAACACAGCCATGCAAACACAACTGCTTCACGGTAGAAACACGAATGGGACAGAGGTAGCCAAGCAATCGACTTTTGTACAAAGTCTCCCTCTGGTGATGTTTTATTAAAGTTCTTTATTATCTTTACTCTTAGTGGTTTTTTCATTCTACACCATCTGTAGCAAATTTTGGCCTAACGCTACCTAGTTAGAAAGCCTATTAAAGGAAAAAGTTATTTGTACGTTTACTACTCAATTATATTTCAAGAATGGATTTCATTAAAATATCTTATTCAGATAGATTCTCTTAATTCCATTGATCGATGCTGCGCTTCTTGTGTTTTTAAGGGAAAAAAAAGATTTAAAGTGACTACCCCTCATTAATTATAAGCTGTACTCCATAGAAATATTGTAAGAAACAGAAAATGCTCTCGCTATATCGTTAAAAGATCTCCATTCAGAAAATAATGTACATCGAGGCCCGTATATATAATTTTTTGAATAGAGATTAGATTCCTTCAACGATTTTAACAGCGCTCGAGAGCTTCGATTTCTAAAGAGAAAAAAAAAATTATTCATTCGAATACAATAAGGGTGCAAATATTCGATTAACAAAATTCCACTTATGTTCGTTGCAGTCTTTACAAAATGGCTAATCATCAAAAAATCTCATTAATTATAAAGAGGGTAAGAAAGGGCGGGTTTTTCTCGGATAGGAAATTAAAGGCGAATGGGCTACGTCAGAATACGGGGATTAATTTATGATTCCCTATAATGTGAGTTACGTAATTCAATGGTAACGTGAACCGTTAAAATTATGGACTCATATTTTATTTATATGTGTGTGTGTGTGTGTGTGTGTGTGTGTGTGTGTGTTGACGAAATAAAAATGTGTGTAAGTGTGATACCTCTTATATTCATTACAAGGTTTAAAGCATAGTAAACTAGTGTCGTGAAATATGTCGAAGGATCCCGGTATAGAATAGGCCACCCCTTCCTTTCAAGTGGGTGTCGTAAGAGTCAAATAAATGACCTTAATAGTCGAGGGATTGGCAGCAGTGTACCTCGTAACACATCCCTCAGCCTTACTGCGGTTGCTAACCCACTTGCCAAGCGTGGCAACTACTGCCAAAACCCCCAAGGTGAGACTTATGTTTAGCAGTGGGCAGTTAACGGCTGAAATAATAATAAAAAAATCTAGAACATAGAATAACTACAAAAAAGGCTAGTGTGATGATGATGATATTACTTGTGATCTTAAATTAGGCGAGGAAAGTCACGGGTTACAATGAGTGTACAATAATTCAAATATTTCCCATTCAATGGTGTAGAATTACCATATTCATGGTGTGAATTGGCTAAACTTAAATCAAATGACATAATAAATCAGTCAAGAACACGTGAGAGTCATTACTTCAAATACGTACTCAGGAGTATAATAGAAATTAGAGTAGGTTTGTGTGTATTATGTGTGATACAGTGTTGCCAGTGTGGGTATTTCTTTCGAAATTTTGGGTAAAAAACCCTATATGCGAATTTTTTAAGAAATGAAATTATTGTAGAAATTTTTGGAGAAAAGTAAAATAGTAATATAGTAACATATAGAAAAAAATCGTATTTTTTTTTTGTGAAAAGAAATAAATACCGGGGTTTTCCCCAGAGACTACAGTATGGGGTTCTTCAATAAGGGTATATTAAAGTTTCTTCAGGGTCGGAAACGCGTACGTGACACCCCTGGAGTTGAGTCCATACGCTACATCGACCGTTTACCGTCAGACGGGCAATATCCTTGTTTGCCACCTTTGTGGTATAAAAAAAATAAAGAGGAAGAATAGTTGGCAAAAATTAATAAGCTAAAAGTGGCAAAAATTGTATTAATTAAAAAAAAAAGGATTAAAATTTAGGTAGAAATACAAATTCCATCTGGCAACACTGAGTTTAGATTGCATGGATAAAGAATATTACCTGCAGCCCTAATAGATATGACACGCAATGACAGTAATAGTGATGCCATCATTAGCAAAACAGGAAACTGTGAGCAAGATTGGAAATGCTTTTTGTCTTGCTTCGCACACGCTCGCTTTTATATTTGGACATTTTGTTGCCACGTCAAAAACATTATGTTTCATAACCCAATCAAATTTAAAAGCCTTATCACTATTATACGTCACGAATCAGGAGGTATACATTTTATTTA